CATTATAAGTGTGTACATCATGAAACATCTTCTTATAGGTGTCTTCCGAGTTTGTTCAAATCAAAGCCCTGGGGTTTAAACTGGCCCCGCTCCAGGGGCCTACATACAGGTGAGCGACCTTAGGGCCAACATCATCATGGCCCTCTTGTTTATCTTATTTTTTAAATACAGCTGATAAACTATGTCTTATATTGAAGTATTTCATACTACATGTTCACCTCTTCATCGGATATACAAGTGTGGCAAATGTAGACATTGTTTTTGGTACATTTGTACATTCTTTGTGTGACCGGTATTTACAGCTCTGACACTGGATCCATACCTCTCTTGCTCGGCTGTTGGGATAAGGTTCCATACCAAGCAAAACCATTCCTCCTCATCATATGATGATTTATGTATGCTCGTTTTGAAAACATTTTTTCTCTTTTTCTGTGTGACTTTTTTCCTCTTAAAAAGATTAATCTAATAATTTTGACTTTTTAACGGATAACTTTGAAGATTGTTGCTTTCTTTTGACTTCTAATTCCAATGCATTTTTTTGGGCGCACTTGTTTCTTATAGTAGCGTATGAAATAACAACTTCATTCATAACGGTCAAATGACGTCATCCTAAGAACGCAATTTATTCTTAAAAGGCGCGCGGCAATGACGTCATTAAAAGCACGCGACTTGTCTAACATGGGGATTAAAATAGATAAATACAGAATCTCTAAAGAAAGCCCAACACGGCAAAATTGAAAATGTTGCAGGCTCGGTTTGATTGAGCCTGTTCATGGACGGTACTGTAAAGTGCAAACTACCGTCCACGCCCCCTAGCACCGGCTTAATTACGTTTGATACTATAGACTTTAAAAGATACCCATTTGAATAAAAGGTTTCTTTTTTAAATTTTAATAATTTTAATTGATATAGACGGACTGACTACACAAGTAGATTTCTCGATGCAATTATGACAGAACTTTCAATGATCTGGTCCTTGCATTTGGAAATTATACTCATAGTATCACCTTAAAGTGTTTTTATCATATTCTGTTGGAAAGGTGTATTTGTGCTTGAGGCAATATTTTACATTTATTTTGATAATGTATTTTAATGTCATGCCATTAATTTTAGATTTCAACTTATTGTATAAAGTCAAAATGAAAGCTTATTTCAAGAGGTTGATATTTCACATTTACTCACAGTATGCATGAATAGAAAACATCCTTAATTTTATGAACATTATTTATTACTTTGCTTTTACAAGTGAAGTTTTGTCTAGTGGACATCTAAACATACTCTAAACACAATGATAACTAATCCAAAGGCGTTTGTTGGTGCCTATACACAACTCCTTTAAAGGAGATTAAAAAGCCGAGTAAGGACTTTTTAAATCCTACGTAGAAGAAAGAGAAGCCTGTTTCGAAGTTTATATATGACCCAACTCGATGCAAACTAATACAAACTCAGTGTCGTCCGTCTTTCAAAACAGTTACAATTTCTACTTAATTTAAATCCCTGGTTAAAATACATCGATACAAGAATGTCCTTGTTAATTATGTTTAAGATACATAAGTAAAAATATATCAATTTTTTTAGAATTCAAATTTGTTAGTTGTCCTTTGCTTAATATCAAATTGACTAGAATAACTGTCAATTACATTGACACTAAAGGGTGTGGGCTTAGCATTTTTCTCTCTTCATTTTCTTTTAACATTATATATGTATCTTACAGATCCCTCTTGCAGAGAAAAGGTGTTTCATTTTCTTTATATGAGTTTTATAGTAGTTGTTGACTTAATAATGCCATATCGAATAACAATCACATGCCATGGTATCTGATATAGTACATTTCTATAAAATTAAAACTACATGACAAAAGTACTTTATAATTAACAGATCAGCCATATACTTTTAAGACAACACGGCAATCTCTTAGAATAGCCCCTTACTCTGGAAAGTTTTAAAGATTTATTAAATATGGGTCTTTAAAGGTATCCGGCCAAAATAGGTATGCTCGTCTGTTTTTAATAGATTTTGATACGTAGATTGCAATACACACAATACAACAGTATTTTAAGATATCCTTATATGAAAAAAAAAACTCGATTCAGAAAGTCGATTTTACCGCGTTACGCAATCGACAATTACCACCACTACGTAGGAATATCGCTACTTACCTTTGCTAACCTATATGTTGGTTAAAATATTTGTGTAAATATTTCTTGCTAATACATCAAAATATCTAAATATATTGTATCATAGTTTTGGGTCTTTTCTGTTGAAAATGTGGCAGAGCTAAATCGTATACAAAAGCAATGCGTTACCAGGAATGCAGGTAGTAGTTTCCAGAGCATGCGCACTGACTGGATCATGTTTTTTTGGGTTTTACTTATTGTGACGACAAAGAAAGGGATAACGATAGAAATATCATATCCGGTTGCTTGTTCAGTCGTTTCTTTCTTTTTTTGTTGTTGTAGGTGGGGGTCATATTGTGACAACAGGGAGCGTGTTTTTATGTTTTCCTGTGATACAAAAGATGGGGGCTACGCCCCCTTATACAAATCAGATAGCCTTGTCCTTCGATGCTCTTTCTATTACTTGCATCATTTAGCGTGTTTTACAAGTTCTCACCTTAAAAGAAGATAATGTAAACAATTTTTTTACATTATTTTTTATATTATAGTGCTGTAACAGTCACGATTTCCAAATTAATCGCCGAGTTTTAAAACACAAACACACATTTTTTTTTTAAATTAACGGCTATATATATTTAAACAGCATTTACTTTTTATCATTATTATTATCGTAACTATTATTACATTATCTTATTTTGATAAATCTAAAGCAGGTCCTTCGTATTTTTGTTCCGATGCAATACAATTATCTCGCTCTGATTTATGTGATTGAAATCGGTTTGAACAAAAGTATCTGAAATCCTGTTGCGTATTTTACACAATTTATAACTCGAAATGATTATATTTTAACAAGTGTTTTGTGGCAATGTAATAAAGGGGGCCAACAAGACTTGTCATTTATTTATTTTGCATTTCAATCAAGTTATTATGCGAACGATACCTACTTTATTCATTGGTTATTAGAAAATAAGAACTGCATCAACCACAACCGCCCATCTTTATTGCATTATGATTTTGCTACGGTCAATGTAGGAATTGTGCATTTAAAATTATATTTCATTTTTTCTGATGTTTATTCACTCAAGTTACCAACATTCAGATTTCTACATGAGCGTGAATTTTCTAGAAACAAGTCGGTGATTTTGCATCAAATAACACATGACACTATTCGGTACTTCTTGTAAATAAAAAAAAAATATTTTGACACGTGATTCAAAATTGATTCAGCTCTATAAGCATTAAATTTAGTTAGGCATTGAGCCAACTATATAACACAACAGCATTACAACATTCCGTCAATTTGTATTTATAGTATTGCAACGTAGCAATAGACCAGAAAGTGTTTGCCTTTGCAACAAAAAAATGGGAAAATAATTTATTTTAAATAAAATACAAAATTTAATGTATCTTTAATATTTTAACAAACAATGTTATGGTTTAATCAACACTGAATATATATCATATTGGACAAACTTGACAAAAGTAACATAATAAATGTTGAGTCAGTTCTAGAGATTAAAATTGTAAATACGTTAAATAAATATTATCCAGAAATAATTTGTGCGATGTTTTTTTTCTGGATCTGCTGATATTAAGAAATATTAAGTAGTTTAAATGAAGTTGTCTATTATCAAACAGGTGTACCGCAAGCCTGCAACGTAAGAAGTTCTAGAAGATTTAAAAACATTGTAAAAGATAGATACATCCGCGTAAAGTATACCGGCCCGTAAAATTGTAGATCAGAATCTGTATCTATATATTTGACAATTTATTTAAAAATCAGTCACTCATTAGAAACAACAACAAAAACAAAATTGCTTATTTCAACTGCTCAATGATCTATGACCTGCATTTCTTACTTCGACATTTTAATATTTTAATACTTTCTATATATTTGACAATTTATTTAAAAATCAGTCACTCATAAAAAACAACAACAAAACCAAAAAATGCTAATTTCAACTGTTCAGTGGTCTATGATCTGCATTTCTTACTTCGACATTTTAATATTTTAATACTATCAATGAGTGATGGCGTATGCAATAATAACGTCAGAATAAAAAAACTTACACAGCCTCGTTTATATTTGTTGGGGTCGTCAGACCAAAACAAATAATGGTAGCGAAATTTCAGACCCTGATGTGCAAATGCCGAAAGTAGTCCAAACTCCTCGAAGCGGTTACTTCCCTATATATAACGTCGAAAAATTAAGGGCGCATTAATTTTCGTAAAGAAAAAAAGATCCCGATTGGCCGAAGTTTTCTAATATTGTGTTATTCTTATATCAACATGCTTATATTAAGCTCCATGAGTATTTACACAAGTGTTAAACATCATGTTTACCGTGAACAAAATATATCAAAATTAATAAGGGTTACAAACCCTTATTTAGAATAATATGGTTTCCTTCAGACTATTATGTTATGACTACCGCGTGGCCGAGGGGTTTACACGTTCGTTCTGGAAGCGAGAGGTCTGCAGTTCAAATCCCAGTTTTTTTTTAATTGTTTAAGCCATAAGCCAAATGTACATTGATTTGAATATCAGTGTTGCAATTAGTCTTATAGCCAATTTACTATAGTTATTACACTGGAAACAGCATTGGTGACACTATACAAACAAATTGGTTTATAATCTCACAAAATTCACCTTTCTGACATTCTGAGACCCAAAAGAATTATGTGCTTTGATTAATTAACTTGTCTAATGAAAGTCCAGTAAACGCACAAGCTAGATCAATTGTGTCTCCGACAAATTGCATCAAAATATCTACTCTCATTTATGTGAGCTATATAGTATATACAGTGTACTATGAATTAATGAAGGAAAAAACTGAAGATTTTTATCAATTGTTTTATCGACTTTTTTGTCAATTCAGATATTGTTACTGAAAGAAAAAATGTTGCTACTTACTATAACAATGCTGATGGGTCTCTTGTTCAGCAAAGGTAAGTTTTTGTAGTATAATTTTTTCATACATTTATGAAACAATTAGTTTTATTATTACATGTACTTCCTTGAAGACACTTATATGCTTCTGTTCTTAGTATTGCTTTTATTTAAACACGTGACTTTAATATGAATGTATCATTATAAAGATAATGAAATAGTAAGTGATCCACTATGTTTTCATGAGGACAGTGTGTACAAATCTTGCAAATTACTGTAAATAATTGATTTAAATAATATTTATTAAAAACTTAACAAGTATATTAACCATGATAATCTTAAAATTTATCTCGATTTGTGATTGCTTGATTTTTATCTGACATAGGCTGCTCCGAGAATTCAGTATTCTCTATTTTCCTGTACAGGTCTGTTTACGTCAATTTGAAAAAACATATGTTTTTATGAAATTAATTTTCACATTTCATCTATTAAAACAATATTTGCATACTTTTTTAAAGAAAGAGCTGTTTAATTATCCATATTTTTTCACATCCGATAGGTATAGCTTTAAACGAGTGTGGTAGATGCAGCTGCTGCAAAAATGGACCAACACGTTGTATATACTACAATGGTTATACTGATTTCTGTTTGGATGGTTGCATTGATGGATATTTTGGTGTTCAATGTGTACATGCATGTCATTATAGCTGCCAGACATGTACTAATTACAAATGGTGCAATAAATGTAAGGACGGTTATTATGGTAACAAGTGCAATCGCTGTCGAGATAACTGTCAATTGTGTATATCATTTGATAATTGTACCGAATGCAAGATAGGCTTCTATAATGGAAAAAAATATTTAAATAGTACCTATGAATATAACGATTGTCGCCATAGATGTTATACGAACTGTAGGTCATGTTCATCATACTATACTTGCCAGGAGTGTAAAATCGGCTATTACAATAACGGTAGGGTCACTATAAACGGAATAGATTATTCCAACTGTGCATACAAATGTGACAGTGTTTGTAAGTCATGTACATCAAAATATAAATGTACTGAATGTAACGATGGTTATTATTTCAATGCCAGCAACGACTTTTGTTATAGGTGTAAAAGTAACTGTATTTCGTGCTCATCGGAAGATATGTGTACATCCTGTATTGCCGGTAGATATAATAACCATTTCACTGATTGTAGGGAGACATGTAAACCAGAATGTAAGTCGTGTATCTCATCTGATAATTGTACTTATTGCGTATCGGGGCGATACGGTACTACATGTGAAAACAAATGCGCTCGGGGTTGTTTAAACGGACAATGTAATAAAAGTAATGGTGTATGCACTTGTAAAACTGGTTTTACCTCAGAGAAATGCATGAAATGTGTTAACAATAAATATGGTACAAACTGTGATATCGAATGTGAGCGAGGCTGTCTAAACAATAGCTGTGACGACAAAGGAGAATGCAGTTGCAAAAGTGGCTTTACTGGTGATAAGTGTGATAGGTGCGAAGAAGGAAAGTATGGAAATTTATGTGACAAAAACTGTCCTATAACCTGCTTAGCGTGCTACGGGTTGAAAAATTGTTCCGAATGTGTTCAGAGGCATTGGGGACATACTTGTCAAACATGTCCAACAAATTGTTTAAATTGCTCTTCCGAACGCACGTGTTCTACCTGTGTGAAAGGGTTTCATGGTGTAACGTGTAGTTTACCATGCAACAAAAACTGTAATGGTAGTTATTGCGGTCAATTAACTGGAAATTGCAGTAATGGGTGTAATGCTGGATTTTACGGAGAATTGTGTGACATGAAATGTAGTTCTAATTGTCTGCATTCTACTTGTGACAGAGAGTATGGTGATTGCTCACATGGATGCAACACAGGATACAGTGGAGCAAATTGCTCTCCGTGTAAGTTAATTCGCAATTATCGATTATTGAATTTGTGATATTTCAACCTTGACCATAATATTACACTGTCGTTATCATTGTAAAAACTGCAAATCATACTTTTTAACAATATTTGTAACAAATTTAAAGAGATAACAATTTGCATGTAGTTCAGATGAATAGATTGCAGAGACCTGTACTATACTATATGTGGCGTTTGTTTTAGTTTACCTGTTATTGACTAATCTTTGTCCATTAGGAATTCAATGTTCTCTTTATCTGAAAACAACAAGACAAACATGCTGAAACTTACAAAAATGTTTCTGGTATGAAAGCATTATATTAGGAAAAACGTAAAATTTATTTCTGAGTTTGTTCACATCATGACATTTGGCTAAAATTGGCACACCCTTAAGGGTCAAATGATTTAACATAGAGTCAAAGAAGAAAAGTTTCGCAGACCTTCTTCTCCACAACCAGTAAATCCAGAGCTTAGAAATTCGACATGTAGCAAGTAATTGAGGACAATTTCCACACATATGTAACGAAAAGGGTATATGAGGGTCATGATGACCCTAATATCGCTCGCATGATTATGAATACTCTTCATGTCAAGGAACAAGTTATGTTTTAAACTATAAACTCAAGCCGATATTTAAAACCTTAATCTTAAACTGATAGTTACCATAAAGTTCATATTTGACTCTGAAATAGTGTTAGTGATAAAACACAATAATGCAATTTCTAAGGGAAAACAACAGTTCAATTAGATGTCACATGCAAAATAAACGGTTTTCTTAGAAGAGACTGCCTGCTTTGAAATTCAATGCTAGATGGAAGGTTCATGGTTGCTATAAAAATTACACTTTGCCAAGTCTGACACTGGTTGCTATTAAGACTAAGCTATAGCTCTTGTAGAAGTAGAGACTATTTTTAAAAGTTTTTATTATAAACTAGAAGGAGGGAAATCTAAGTTCCCCCGGGTCTTGGCATTTTTGACCTGAGGGCTATAATTTAAACAATTTTTGTAAAGGTCCACCGACAATGTTTCCATAAAAATTATCTAGGCTAAAGCCTCAATAGTATAATAGAAGATTTTTGTTTACTTAACATATGTTAGAAAAATCAATGACCCCCTGGGGCGGGACTATAATTTTGCCTTAAGGACTATAATTTAAACAAACTTAGTAGAGGTTTATTAAATAATTTTTCATCTCTAAAAAAAATAAACTTTATCCCTTAATAAAGTTTTAAAGAAAAATTGTTTTTACTATAAACATATAAGGAAAATCTATATCCCTCCCAGATCAGCGCAATTTTAATGTAAACATTTTTGTAGAGGTCCACTAGACTGTAGAGGTCCACTAGACAATGTTGCATACCAAATATCTAGGCTGAAGCCTCAATATTATGATAGTGAACTATCACGGGCGTCAGTCCAATTTGAATAAGATTTTCAAGCTATACATTGTTTAGTTATTTGTAAAGCTTGCAATAGAGCATAGTTAGACATTTACTTTATATAAATTTTATATAAATACTTTCTTGATATATTTAGTCACCTTGAATTCAAAGATAATAATTTTAAATCTTAATTCATTTTCTTGGTATGAATGAATTCAATAAGGTCTAATAAGGTATATACTTGTATAACATACATGAATGTATTAAATTTTAAAATACAGTTACAGTATTATTTCTTAAAAGCCATCTTTTCAATTAAGCATAACCTATTTCTGAAAACATTTGATGAGACTTATATTAAGCTGGATTCATAAATGACCTTGACATTTCCGGCTTTGGTGTAACTGAGTACAACTTTATTATTATACCCCCATTTCATCTCAAGAACCGGTAAATAAACTTGAACATAAAATATCAATACAATTTCACAATACGCTGTGTGTTTAAAGTTTGATAACCCTGATAGATAGTTTGAAATAATTAAGTCCTTTCTAATCAAATTGGCGTCAAAAGTATATTATCTACATGTACTAAATTATCTCCCTATTTTACCAAATTATTATTAACAGATGATAATACTTTTTAGCAAGGCAATTAATTGTAATTATTATTGTATATCAAAGATGAAACGTTTTTAAATAGAGGTCTAGTTCAAATGTGTGATAGTTCTAGTTTATATTACAGTTATGAGTCATGCAGTTGAAACTCAGGACAATAAAGAGGTGACAATAGGTGTTACGGTCGGTGGATGCAGCTTCATTATAATTGTTATATTAGTTATTACGGTAGTTCTTCTCACAAAAAGGTCAGTGCAAGATAAGATATACAATTTTTCTAAAATATATTTACAATAATAACCTTGAATTTTACAGAAAAAGAAATTCACATTCATAATAAAATAACATCAAGTTGTATTAAAACTTATAACAAAGTTTCAGTTCTTATAGTAACGCCTATCCCGATTAGACTTTGTCACAAGTATAGATCAAGAGCTGCCTGCAGCCTTTTATGCAGCCTGACAAGGCTCGGTACTGTAATGTTCAATTTTTAACCTAAAACTAATTTAAATTTGCACTGTTTATATTACTAAGAATTGCAAACAAATAAATGTAAAGGCTAATGATCATGGTGTTTATAACCAGAGGTATCAAGGGGGAGAATCACGCCGTTCGTTACCGAAACAAAGAAGATGGTGGATGCAGCCGAAAAGTAAGTTTGTCCTTTTCTTCTCTGCAGTCCGTACTTCTCCACAACTTTTCCGGGCACACATGATTTTATTTCATGATGCTTCGTCCCGTACTTCTTTTGAAATGCGCGTCACTAGAATCGAACCGACAGAATTTTATACCGGTTGGATTTTGATAACGTATGGCTTCCTCTCTCAAATTCACTGTTTCCTTTACAAATATGTATATAAACTGAAACCATTGACTTTGAAAAAATGTAGTATTCATCATCTAAGCACCCATGCCCCTTCTGTCTAGATTTACCGCTGTAAATATTAATATCGGGGCAATTTGCTGGAAATGATAACGTATGGCGCATAAAATATCAATGATAACGTACGGCGCATTTTTCTACTTGGTGGATTTCCATTTGTTCAGTCAACTGATAATGAATTATTGGTATGTATAAATGATAGATATTTGAAAAAGTTATTTGTCAGTTCAGAAATAGATAATTGAACAATGCTGCCCCGTTGGGTATAAATATCTTTCTAGCTGGTGTCATTATAGATATTCGTTGTTAATATACTAACCTTTATCTACCAATAAAGACGCACATGCATACTTTGAGATAAAAATTGTATAAAATGCAGAATGGAAAGAAATGACACCACTTTCAGGGAACATTTGTGTCTTCACATCTTTCTAAAAGTGATTACACCCAGATGAAATGAGTCTGTGTTTATTCAATCTGGTCGCTCATTTAAAGAAAAAATCATAACAGAGAACAATGAATGAGTGTATGTTCTATATTGAATTAATTGAATGAGCTAAAAGTAATGTCATGCGAAAAAGTTCAATAAATTTAGTAAATCAGCAATTTCTTGTTTATTTGACGGGCGGTTAATTTTGAAACGCTACCATTTAGCGTGACGTTGTGCCACTTTGACGTCAGATATTTGCACGACCTAGCTATACAGTGTTTTTTAATTAAAATGAAAGGAACCTCATAATTCGATCAAAATGAATTTGCCTATCATATTCTGGCGTTTGTTTTACACAA